AGTATCAAGATGTTTTATGAAAACGGAAGAAATGAATTGAGAAGTTTTCTAAATATTAAAATTATTTATAATTTTAATTTACTCAAGAAATTTTTGATCCGAAAATAATTTATAACCTGAAAAATTAATTTATTAGGTTATAAATAATAAAAGTTAATAAGGTTATAGAAAATAATTCTTCCAAACATTCACGAGACATTGTTCTCACACACGTTTAGGTCGGCCTGCGCAGTCTGACACTGCGCCAGGAAAATCAAATGGTTTTTCAATTCTACTCCGGTAGTCGGTACAGTTCGCCAAAACTGTTAAATTTCCCTCCACACACTACCAGGAATTATAAAGGTCAGGCATGCATGGTTAATCCTTTGAGAATTAACCTAACGAGTATGGGCGATTCTACTCAGGTGGTCGGTACAGTTTGCCGAAACTGTTAAATTTTCCCCCACACACTTCCAGGAATTACTCAAAATCAGGCATGCATGGTTACTCCTTTGAGGATTAACCTATCATGTATAGCCACCTTTAGATGTGAAAAGATGACAGACAGACAGAATTACCTTCAAATTTATAATATTAGTATGGATTAATATGAATTTCTGCTATAAGGGGTACGCAAGTTTGAGCTCTTTCTTGAAGTGGTACACAGGAAAAAGTAATTGGGAACCACTGCTCTACTGTATACATTATATTGTGTGCAGGCATTTTTTTAATTCCATTTCTTTATAACTCTGCTAAAGCAAATTTTCCATTAATTAAAACAATTTCCTACAAAAATTAGTTTAGATAAACAAGAGTGCATTATACTTTACTTTTCTTTCCTTTGTTTTGATCTCTTTTCATCAAGTTAAATTAAATAAAAGAAAAAGATTTAATGTTTTTTTATGATAAAACTGGACTTAAATCAAAAAACAACAATTAACATTTACAGGAAATCCTTGTTAATTCAACCTTGGATAGTTTGAAATCTTGTTAGTTCCTAACTGTACTATTTGTCTCAGCTGTGGATATAGAGATTTACACATTAAGAAATTCAGATAGTTTGACATTCAAAGTGAAAATTCTGTCTGAACTGTGATATGTATATGTTAACTCATTCGTTTAGATCAAAGTGCCTCCATGCTATAAGAGATCAACAGACCAAGAACAACTCTAATCTGATAAATATGACTTAGCTTTTACAGTAATACATTTTTGGGTGTCACCTTACATATGGATTACCCTTTTTTTCTTTTATTTCGTAAAATATGGGTGGGTTTTGGGATTGCAAGATTGGGCTACAAGTTGCAGATTGAGATATTTGTAGGGCTCTAGGCTATTACTTTTTGGCCACTTTAAAAATATTTGGACTCCATTTCTAGGAATTCTGCTTTATTTTTTATAAAACCTATCTGGAAACCTGTGAGGTTGTCACTGGACACATGCTGTTTACCTACAGTTTATTTATATTATTATTAATAATTAATTAATGAAAGTAGCATTCTGTATAAGTAACCATATTTCATTTGCTTAATAAATTACATCAGTTACATGGCATTTGGCATATTGTACAGAAATATGCAAATCTTGGACAATTTGATAATTTGAAGTTGCAAATATTTCATCCCCTGAATTTTGAACTAACAAGGATTTCTTATATTTGTATATTTTAATAATTCTAACAATTGTTTGTTACAAAAGATCATGCAAAGCATATATCATCAACATACTGGTTTAGTATAGCATGACACACATGTACAGTACAATACTGTACATCAAAAATTGATAAAATTATTGATAGATATTTTGCTATAATAAAAGCATACTTTAGCTTTATATATTGCCAAAACATGGCATGAATTGCTGAATTTACTGTATTTCTTATTAACTATTGAATAAATTTGTCACCATTTTATCAATTTGAAGTTATTAATATTATTATAAATAATTTCAGGTACAGGAAAATTAGGATTTTCCTTTGTCCGTATCACAGCCTTAATGATCTCATGTAATCGTCTCTGGATTGGTACAGGAAATGGTGTTATTATTTCTGTACCATTATCAGAAAGTAAGTTTTTTTTTTCTTTTACAGTTTTTAAATTATTTTAAATTTAAAAAGTTTTCTTCTAATTTTATTTTAATAATTTATCATTTTCAACAGTAGTCAAAAGCATGTAATAAAAGTCAGATAACAACATAAATTCAAAATTACTCTTTCAATCACTATATCAGTGATTAAAATAAAACAATTTTAATCTGTGTAACTGTGAGGCTGTAATCTTATACACCAGTATGATAAGTCCTATTAATAGAAATACACTGATATAGTGATTGAAAGAGTAATTTTGATTAAATTAAGGACATAGATGCATATTAATTAACGACATAAATTTTTTAAAAATTGAGAAAATTAATTTTTTATGGACCTAATATCCTCATTTGGTTACTATAAATTTAAATTGTTTTATCAAAAACAAATGAATTACTTTATCATGCATTTGTTTTACTATAAAATTCATTAGTGAAGATAACCAAAACTCATATGCAAAATCAAATAAGAAAATTTTTTCTGATACTATTGTAAATATCAAGTAATTCTTATGTGCAAATATTAACTATGAATTATAAGAATCTTAAATTATTAAGGGATAAGATGAAAGTATTAGTGTTATTATTAATTCATTTTTGAATTATTATACTATTTCTCACATTTTTTAAAAATTATTTGTAGCTAAATAAATCAGTAAAATATTTATACATACATTACATAAATGAAATTTTAAAACTAATATACATTATCATTGCACCATTATAAACAGAAAAGTTCTTTTTAATACATTGTAATGGTTCTTTTTTTCTAAATATGAATAATTAAATATTTTTCAGATACAAAAAAAGAAAGCTCGAGTCCAAGTGATGGAAAAATACCTGGTAGTATAATTCGAGTTTACAGTGATAACAAAGATAATGTTACTCCTGCCAGTTTTATACCTTATTGTTCTATGGCCCAAGCTCAACTTTCTTTTCATGGTCACAGAGATGCTGTCAAGTTTTTTGTTTCTGTTCCAGGTAAAATTATCTAAACATCTCTCAAATTTTGTGTATAGTATGTATATTTATTAATTACAAAAATAAACGTATTGAAAATAATTTTACAATTGCATGATCAGTAGGACAGGGAGGAATGAGTGCTATCAGCAGCAGTAATGTTTCAGAATCTAGTAAAAGTGAAGATAGTGCACGAGCCTCTGAACAACCAAAGAAACCAAAATACATGTTGGTAATTTCTGGAGGAGAAGGCTATATTGATTTCCGAATAGGCAAGTATATTATATAATGAATTAACAAATATAAGTTAACTTCACTTAAGTTAATATAGTTTCAGTTCTTTTTGCTTTTAATTAATTAAATATTCTAAATTTAAATTGACTCAAAAATCTATTTGCTGTATTTGTCCTGATGAAAAACAACAGACTTTATATTGAATTTTAATTTCTGTTATTCTAAAATACCTCAGATGAATAATGTATTGAAATAGGAAGCTTTCGTATATTGTGTTATATATGCATTGAATATACATTATATTTATATTGAAGAACTGTATTAATAATAACTTTTCATTTAATTTATGTTAATTATTATCTCATTTACTTAATTTAATAAATTATTAGGGAATTAAAGAAAGGATATTTCCACTTTAATATTATTATAGATGTTGTATAAGTTGTCTAAATTATCAGAATTAGAATGTTCTAAACCATACAAGTTAAATATACTTATAAAGTTTTATAACTAAAATTCTAATTACAGTTGGGGAGTTTTAAGGAATAAGGTATCTAAGTGCACTTAGGTATCTTATTCCTATACCTTTTCCAGTTAAGTGTTTTATTTCATAATGCACATCAAATAGGGTTTTATGGATAGGGATTGCTGTAATATGCACTTTACTCAAGTGTATTTAACAATTAAACTTTACTCACTTTGTAACAAACCTCACGGAAAAAAAAGGCTTTTTTGAGAATTTGTGAAAACATCAAAATTTAACTTAGGTGTCTTATTTCACAGAACTCTTTAATTATAAGTATTATTTTCTGTAAATTAAATTTTTAATTTCCTGCATTTTTAAATCATCTTTTTCACTGTCAGCCTCAACATGTGGTTAATGTTTGATAACATGCAATCATGATCAGTTATCAATTACGATTTCATCAAAGACTCTTTTTGCCTCTGAGGATTTCCTGATCATGTTCCCTTGTAAGAAAATCAAATGAATTAAGTCCCCGTAGAATTAGAAATGGTATAAAAAAAATTGACTTTATAAGTCTTAACCAGTGATTTAAAATATAGACATTAATCATTTGAATTATTTATTCATAGTGTAAACATTTATTTATTTATTTTCCTACAGTAAACTTTAGATAAGTTGACATACTTCATAAATTTTATTTTTGTTATGAATGAAATAATACAGTTATCATATTTATTAGTGAACATCTTCAAAATATTCATTTTGCTTAATTAATAAAAACTACATTTTTTTAAAGGTGACAGTGATGATGAAGATAATGAAGAAATTTCTTTGACTCCAGAGAAAAAACCAAGAGGTTTATCTAAAGGAGACAGTAGTCATCTAATTGCCTGGCAAGTTATGTTACCTGATTAACATTGATAAGGCATATCATTTTCCACAAATTCAGTGTGGTTATTGGTTACAGTTTCTCATGTCTATTTAATGATGATAACTTGAATCAGAAGGAAAATGTAAGATGCACCAACTGCTTCGTGTCTTGCTACTGCTTTTCTTTTTATAAATATATATATATATACATACATACATATATATATAAAATATAAAATGTATAAAAATACTAAGTGTGATATGCATGATGGAAAATTTTTGAAAGTTTTTCCTAGGCAGTTAAGTTAATATATATAATGGTTTACACAATAAATATAAGAAACTTTGTATTTTTATGTAAACAAGTTTACTGTTTTTGTTATGTACAGTTATACCCAGAAAATATTTATTAAAACCTCAAAAATAAGCTTATTTAATTGTTTATAATGCAAAATATTTATCAGAAAAATGTGATCAACTGAAAAATGTAAAAATGAATTATTAAGAAGAGAAATATATATTAAGATGAGGAAGTTGTCGGTGTTTATGACGATTAAAAAAATTATTAACAGATCTGATCGAATGAATATTTTAATGCAAGTATGCTCAGGATTTTTCTCACAATACATTGTAAAACAGCTGCATAACTATGAAGAGATGTAAACATTTTTAATACACTGGTTGTAAATTACATCCTTTCAAATTTTATAACTCAAAAATATAAAAGTCAAATAATAATAAATTATATAAAGTCCATAGTTATTAAGATGACTAAATTGTTTTGATAATTAAATTAGAAAATGTTATTTCATAAAAAAAAGAATTAAGATCATTTTAAAATCTAATGTTTATTGATGTATAAATTAAAACAAAAATTACTAATTTCTAATTTGATCACTCATCAATAGAATGATGTTAGCAATCACAGTAATTGATTACAAATATATATTATTATTATTATTTACCATTGAATATTATATTTTTATAGTATAAAAATTATTTTAAAATTTGTTCCTAAAATTTGTGTGTATATGTTATGTCAAAATATTCCAAAAATTTTTTTTATTGTTTAAATTTGAATGTTAGTATTCCTGTAAAATATATTTTGTAAAATTAGTTGGTTTTTTTTTCTTCTTTGGAAAGAAGTTTTTAGATATGTATTAAATAAAGGTTTTCTTTTGGCTAATATATTTTTATTTATTGTACTATATTGTAAGTTTAAAATCTTTTTAATATATAAAATTTTGTTGTTCAAATTTTATGTACTTTTAAAATAAATTTCAATCATAACCAATAATGTTTTTGAGAAATCAGGTGGATGGCTGAGGCAGATGAAGGCATCTTGTTGCTCTGGAGACCTGGGATTGAATCCTAAATCCCCAGAACTTTTTCATGGATGATCTGTCCACGATGTCAGGTTCCTATTTCTCATCATCCAATGCCTTCATTGTGAGCCTAGCTGAACACACTGGATATGAAAAAGGCCCTTTTAGTGCCCAGAGGGCAAAAAGAGTAAAAAATTAAGAAATATATACAATATAATATAATAATTTTGTTAAATACTGTTATTTATATTAGTAAAGAATCCATAAAAGAAATTTAGAATTGATGAAGTGAAAGTAATAGATACATACTTATCATTACAAAGAAAGTTACTTTGAGAAATATATTTCATTTAAAAAAAAAATAATTTGAATTCAATCAAAAATATTAAATAATATAAAAGTTTTAACTAAAAACATGACTTTTTTAGGGAAGAGAATTTTCTCTAATATTAAATTTATTTGGTTTTACATTAATAAAATTATTATTAATTAATACATTTCCATTACCTATTATTTCAAAAAATACTTTAATGTGAATTTTACAATCTCTAAATAATAAATTTAGAAAATATAAATTTTTAAATCCATGTGTAGGGAGAGAAGAGGGTGCTGAAAATTAGAAAATAAATTTAACTTATTAATTTAATAAATTTATAATCAACCAATAAGGGAAAATGGATTTCTAAAATCAAATATCTTACAGTAAAAATCTTATTCAATTGTGTTCCTGGATTCCAAAAATTATCAATTTTTTCTTGTCCAACAAAAATAATACTTTATTGATGAATGATATAAATATGTATAATTCATGCAATTAAACAACTCAGTTTTCTTAATCTGTTTTTGTTTGAAACTTACTCATCGGTTTTTTCGCAGATAACCTGCAACTGAATATACCACAGAAAATTGCTAGAATAAATGAATAAATCTTCAAATAATCCACATCATATCTCTGGAGCGACCATTGAACTCTCTTCTAAACAGTTTAGAGGGCAACATCTCAAACATTAAAATGTCACTTTTCTATTTCACCTCATATTTTATAACTGTGTAATTATTAAATAAGCGAAAGAGGAAAACAGAAAATGAAGTCGGAGACATGGGGGAAACTGACACAGAGGCTAAACAGACTAATCCGGGGTGAAGCCACCATTCTTTCTCCTTGAATTTCTGACTTTTTAATGGATCTCTCTGCTAAATTCTTAATTTGATCGGTTAATCTATTTGAAACTTCCGTTCGATTTCTGTTGATCCGACTTTGAAACTTTCGCTCGTATCTCATGCCATGATATTACAGGCATACCTCGACTTACGTCGTTTCGAGTTACGTCGTTTGTCAAAAAAGTAAACGGTTTAAGATGGAATGCGAGAAGTAAATGAAACTTTATCTGTCATCCGATATCCAGTTTACTAATTTTTTCTTCATCCAGATCAACGTAAAATGCTTTAATCATATTGGGGAAGTTATCAGAATGTAATTCGATTTAACATTTATTATTTATTTTCTATTATATAAACTGTTATTTGTTTTAGGGTAAATATTATTCATCAGTGTGGCTTGCCGATAAACTTACTCGAAATATCCAAAGAAGAGAAAATTGTCTTAAGTTAAATTTGGACGAATATGGAGATGAATTAAACAAATGTATTAAATTCGAAGACATTTCAAATTATTTGTACTAACATGGAACAAATGTGAACTTTCGGTCCTTGCTAATAATGTATTTTAAACACACATTTTCGCTTAACAGACTTTTCTCCCATCCTGTGATCGAATATCCATAATAAAGTAATAAAAAGGCATTGGCATTCGTAATTGAAAGTTTCACAAAATTTACGACCTAGAAAAAAATAGATTCATTGTTGATAAAAATCTCAAAATTTACAATTATTAGATTTTACTGTATCGAATATGAAATATTTTTATTTTTATTTTTTCAGGAGATAAAGAATATTCCAACGACTGGATATTTTCCATCTTCATTGCAATTTAAATGTCTTCGAAAATCCAAATGTTTTCTATCCTGACAGATTTCTTCCCGAAAATTCTTCCAAACGCTCACCTTACTCATACATCCCATTTTCGGCAAGACCCAGGATGTGTCCGGGTGAGGAACTTTAGCATAATACTGTATAAGCTAAATTTATTAGATCTCAAGTTTAATTAACATATACAATTATTTCTTATAGGATATTACTTGGCCATGATGAAAATTAAACAGATTCTGGCAACAATTTTAAAAATGTTGAAAGTAGGATATTTGGAAAAAACCTCACTCAAGTTCGGAATTACTCTTAATCCTAGTCGATTACTCGAACTCCAATTTGAACCAAGAAAACCGTAAATATTTTTACGTTAGATGCTTTTGAGGCATACTCATAAATTATTACCGTCAAAAGTATTGTAATATTTGGCATTTTGTTCGAAAGAGCAGTGCTTTTGCTCTTTCTAAACGACGTCGTAATAAATCGAAATGAAACCTAAACCATATATTTTTTGGCATTCCTCCNGCTAAGTTATAAATACATACCCAGGATGTAAAAGGTCGATTACTCGAACTCCAATTTGAACCAAGAAAACCGTAAATATTTTTACGTTAGATGCTTTTGAGGCATACTCATAAATTATTACCGTCAAAAGTATTGTAATATTTGGCATTTTGTTCGAAAGAGCAGTGCTTTTGCTCTTTCTAAACGACGTCGTAATAAATCGAAATGAAACCTAAACCATATATTTTTTGGCATTCCTCCGTTAGCTTTCTTACAAAATAAATTCTTACATAATTAATTTTGTACACTTTTACTAAAATTATCTCATGGTCATTGCAGTCTTCTTCTTCTTTTTTTAAAATAATTATTGTAGATATACAATTGACTTGTTTTCTCTGTCTTTACTAAGACAGAATTTATTTCTCAGACTAACTTTAAATGCGAATTCCAATAGTACGAATGTGGGGTGAATTAAACATCAGATACTATACTTTCTGTTATAATGTAGTGCATTGAGTAATAGCAGATTATAAGCCACATTAAAATATTTTACTGCTAAGGTCAATAAAGTTGTTTATTATCTAATTATTAACTAATACAAATTATTACTAATACTAATACGAATAAATAATACTAACAAAACTAATACTCTGTTATTAACTAATACAAAATTTCGGTATTTTTGTACACATAATTCTAAAATGAAACTGAAAGAAATGTTCACACTTTCGTTGCATTTATTAAATCATTATATTCATGAAACAAAAAATGTATTTCTGATTAATTTTGTTTAACTTCTCAGTGTCTGCATATAATGCTACCCTTGTGCAAGCTGAAAGTATGGAATAAATAGTGTTAAATATACGTCTTCATTAAATGCAATTAAATAGAGTGCTGCTGTGTTTTTTTAGTTTTGTTTTTATATATTTATCCGTTCCTTTTATTTGTATTTTCTACATAAACAAATTATTTTATTCAAACGTTAATGTAATAGTCGTTATCGAGTAAAACAAATTAGTTGAAAAGTGTGTTTACTGGGCTCCAATTTGAACAAATGTACACCTATAAATTTCTACTGTTTCTGTCTCTTCTTATTTTCGAAAACGGTGTGACGTAAATAAAATTCAAGAGTAGATATGGAAATCTTTGAGGCAGTAAACACCGATTCATTATATAATAACTACCTAGGTAAAACAGAAGTCACGTGACTTCAATGTAATTATTTTTCTTTGCTAAAATCAAATATCTTACAGTAAAAATCTTATTCAATTGTGTTCCTGGATTCCAAAAATTATCAATTTTTTCTTGTCCAACAAAAATAATACTTTATTGATGAATGATATAAATATGTATAATTCATGCAATTAAACAACTCAGTTTTCTTAATCTGTTTTTGTTTGAAACTTACTCATCGGTTTTTTCGCAGATAACCTGCAACTGAATATACCACAGAAAATTGCTAGAATAAATGAATAAATCTTCAAATAATCCACATCATATCTCTGGAGCGACCATTGAACTCTCTTCTAAACAGTTTAGAGGGCAACATCTCAAACATTAAAATGTCACTTTTCTATTTCACCTCATATTTTATAACTGTGTAATTATTAAATAAGCGAAAGAGGAAAACAGAAAATGAAGTCGGAGACATGGGGGAAACTGACACAGAGGCTAAACAGACTAATCCGGGGTGAAGCCACCATTCTTTCTCCTTGAATTTCTGACTTTTTAATGGATCTCTCTGCTAAATTCTTAATTTGATCGGTTAATCTATTTGAAACTTCCGTTCGATTTCTGTTGATCCGACTTTGAAACTTTCGCTCGTATCTCATGCCATGATATTACAGGCATACCTCGACTTACGTCGTTTCGAGTTACGTCGTTTGTCAAAAAAGTAAACGGTTTAAGATGGAATGCGAGAAGTAAATGAAACTTTATCTGTCATCCGATATCCAGTTTACTAATTTTTTCTTCATCCAGATCAACGTAAAATGCTTTAATCATATTGGGGAAGTTATCAGAATGTAATTCGATTTAACATTTATTATTTATTTTCTATTATATAAACTGTTATTTGTTTTAGGGTAAATATTATTCATCAGTGTGGCTTGCCGATAAACTTTCTCGAAATATCCAAAGAAGAGAAAATTGTCTTAAGTTAAATTTGGACGAATATGGAGATGAATTAAACAAATGTATTAAATTCGAAGACATTTCAAATTATTTGTACTAACATGGAACAAATGTGAACTTTCGGTCCTTGCTAATAATGTATTTTAAACACACATTTTCGCTTAACAGACTTTTCTCCCATCCTGTGATCGAATATCCATAATAAAGTAATAAAAAGGCATTGGCATTCGTAATTGAAAGTTTCACAAAATTTACGACCTAGAAAAAAATAGATTCATTGTTGATAAAAATCTCAAAATTTACAATTATTAGATTTTACTGTATCGAATATGAAATATTTTTATTTTAATTTTTTCAGGAGATAAAGAATATTCCAACGACTGGATATTTTCCATCTTCATTGCAATTTAAATGTCTTCGAAAATCCAAATGTTTTCTATCCTGACAGATTTCTTCCCGAAAATTCTTCCAAACGCTCACCTTACTCATACATCCCATTTTCGGCAAGACCCAGGATGTGTCCGGGTGAGGAACTTTAGCATAATACTGTATAAGCTAAATTTATTAGATCTCAAGTTTAATTAACATATACAATTATTTCTTATAGGATATTACTTGGCCATGATGAAAATTAAACAGATTCTGGCAACAATTTTAAAAATGTTGAAAGTAGGATATTTGGAAAAAACCTCACTCAAGTTCGGAATTACTCTTAATCCTAGTCGATTACTCGAACTCCAATTTGAACCAAGAAAACCGTAAATATTTTTACGTTAGATGCTTTTGAGGCATACTCATAAATTATTACCGTCAAAAGTATTGTAATATTTGGCATTTTGTTCGAAAGAGCAGTGCTTTTGCTCTTTCTAAACGACGTCGTAATAAATCGAAATGAAACCTAAACCATATATTTTTTGGCATTCCTCCGTTAGCTTTCTTACAAAATAAATTCTTACATAATTAATTTTGTACACTTTTACTAAAATTATCTCATGGTCATTGCAGTCTTCTTCTTCTTTTTTTAAAATAATTATTGTAGATATACAATTGACTTGTTTTCTCTGTCTTTACTAAGACAGAATTTATTTCTCAGACTAACTTTAAATGCGAATTCCAATAGTACGAATGTGGGGTGAATTAAACATCAGATACTATACTTTCTGTTATAATGTAGTGCATTGAGTAATAGCAGATTATAAGCCACATTAAAATATTTTACTGCTAAGGTCAATAAAGTTGTTTATTATCTAATTATTAACTAATACAAATTATTACTAATACTAATACGAATAAATAATACTAACAAAACTAATACTCTGTTATTAACTAATACAAAATTTCGGTATTTTTGTACACATACTTCTAAAATTAAGCTGAAACAAATGTTCTCACTTTCTTTGCATTTATTAAATCATTATATTCATGAAACAAAAAATGTATTTCTGATTAATTTTGTTTAACTTCTCAGTGTCTGCATATAATGCTACCCTTGTGCAAGCTGAAAGTATGGAATAAATAGTGTTAAATATACGTCTTCATTAAATGCAATTAAATAGAGTGCTGCTGTGTTTTTTTAGTTTTGTTTTTATATATTTATCCGTTCCTTTTATTTGTATTTTCTACATAAACAAATTATTTTATTCAAACGTTAATGTAATAGTCGTTATCGAGTAAAACAAATTAGTTGAAAAGTGTGTTTACTGGGCTCCAATTTGAACAAATGTACACCTATAAATTTCTACTGTTTCTGTCTCTTCTTATTTTCGAAAACGGTGTGACGTAAATAAAATTCAAGAGTAGATATGGAAATCTTTGAGGCAGTAAACACCGATTCATTATATAATAACTACCTAGGTAAAACAGAAGTCACGTGACTTCAATGTAATTATTTTTCTACGAAAGAATTTAGATAGATGACAGGCACGACTACATTGTTAACAGAAATATATACCGTACAAAACAAGTTACTACTAATTTGAATTGGCTAGGATATATTTTAAATTAAATATATTATTAATTTATTAAAAATTGCAGCCCGATGTTGTCACAATAAATTTTGTTCTGACAACAAATAAATGTGACGATATTACAATAAGTAATATTTCGTTATAGTTGATAATCTAAAAGAGAATAAACGGCAATTATAGTGTTGAAAACAGTGCTTAATTTCAGATTTACAATATAGAAGTGTGGTTTCGGTGTCCGGTTTTAAGGTAAATATCTGCACATTTCTTTTCTTTCTGCTTCACTCCCGTTAAATCAAGGATGGTGAAAAATATAAAATACAATCCGCTGACCATCTGTAACGAATTAAGAATTTATCAATGTTATAACACAACCAACACATGCAGTAAAAATTTAAAATACCTTGACAAGGCAGTCTTTTTTTATATAGAAGAAACCACCAACAGAGTAAGCCAAAGGAATTTTACCGAATCTTTTCATAAAGTCGTTCATCTAAATTAAAGGACATCCTTCCCCGATTAACCTTCACCTCGGTTAACCGACCGTCCTAGTCGGCAAATTTCAAATGTCCGCTGTCATGTGGCACTACAATATTTGGATATGTCTTGGCTACTTTAATATTATTTTTACGTGTTTTAGCTAGAAACACTGGATCGACCATGAAAGGGAGCCAGTATTTATACAAGGCTTAATTTTTTAATTTTTAACGACACAATAGCCACAATTATTATTATTTTTTTATTCAACGCGAAGTAGGTTAATAGCGATATACTAATATACAAATTACATAGGATATAATAATATACTACACTAATAATGGATTTTTTTCATATTTTTCGGTTATCCGACTTTTCAATTATCCGACCAACCTTAGTCCCCAATTGACTCGGATAATCAAGGCTCTTCTGTATAAATATTGTATAAAATATATATTACAGAGTTATTTTACAACAAGACTTGTGCTGTTTTAGCTATAACAGATATTGAAGTAAGTTGGCATAATGCTCTTTCATAACTCATACCAGACTTTATATGAAATGTACTATACCTAGTCTATAATACTTGTGAAGAGATTTTACGCTTACCTTAAACTTGAATTCTAATGGTAGATCTGCAGACGAAAGTTTGTAAATGGAAACAAAGTCGTCATATAACTGTAAGAAGATAATACCTGCATTAATTTCACTATGTATGTTAATTTTTTAACTATTAAATTTCATTATTAAAAATATTCATATATGTAGAGTATTGCGTATTTGTATTGTACGATGTACGATTATCCTTTAATTTATCGGAAGTTATTCTGAACGCTGTGAATATTAAAATTCAACAAAGAATTTTGTAAGTTTATCGGCCACAGAAAAATTGTTTGTAGCACCATCGTGTGAAATTTTTATTTCAAAAATACTTTTTATATTATAAAAAAACGTGTTTTACTGTTGATGGTAGAGCTGAATTTTAAGAAAGATAATAAATGTAAATAATAAGTAGAAAATTCATTAAGTTCAACCCAACTTTAGACGTGACACATTCCCCATCCCCTTGCCCTTCAACTGTTGAAATTTATCATCAAAACTCTTCATACCTAAACCTTCTTGTAAAATTTCAGAAATATTTGACAAAAGCGCTGAGGTTAATCTTCAAAGTGAATAAACAAAACATTCACACATACTAAAACATCCCTGAACTTTTTAAATTACTCTACCTCTCAAGGTACTCTGCATACGAAAGTGCAAAAACCGTGTGAGAAAGGTCATTTTTGATCGACCGCCATTATGTGTCTTGTTAAAAATCTATTTATTTCCTAATTGAAATTTATAAATATTCAACTACTGATGCATACATGTTTTTGTTATCACCAATTTCTCTGCTAAATGTTAACAGAAATTGGTGATAACAAAAACGTAATGTTTCAATGAAAATATAATACTTATTGCTAAGTTATAAATACATACCCAGGATGTAAAAGTCGATAACAGTTCACCTGCTATAAGACAACCTCCTACAAATGCCAGAGAAACAATTGTGAGAAAAAATTTGTAATCTGGATCTACTTTGACGAATAACGCAGCATATAAGAGGACGCACGCTAGATGCATATAAAAACCATACACTAGAGGTGTTAGCATTTCCCATTCTTCGTTCGTATTTTTTAGAAATTCCCATATCTCTATATGTTTTCTGAAATATTCTTCTAAATTTTTATTCAAATCTGTATTTGACCATTTTATATCTGCTGCTTCTTTAGAAAGATTCTTTAGTCTGTTCATTATAATAAAAAACAGGCAGCAAACAATATAGCAAATTGACAGAATATGTGCTTCAACATAAATACAAGGTATATACAAATCCAATGCTGACAGAACAAACAAACGCTTCAGTGTTATATCCGTTTTGTCTTTTTACTTCTGAGTATACAACAATTTGCGACAGAACTGAACTACATAAAAATACGCAGAATGAAACAATAAATAAAGCAATTTGCAGAAATTGCAACTTATCAATGATTCTATATTCTTCCTCGTAGCTGGTTTTAAAAAGGTGCAGAAATACTTTTCTTCTTTTCATAATACTAAACTGTGTAGCAGCATATATGAGAAGAGCTGTGTTTACTACTGCACCATGTAATGCGTAATATCTTAAGTAACGAACAATTCGTAAGCAATAAAAGTCAATATTAAATATCCAATAAATATAAACAATAACTAGTAACCACAACACCGCTTCGATGCAGTCACAATATATTTTGAACAGTGTGGAAAGTTTTGATTTTCCATTCTTTTTCGTTTGTCTCATACAATGACATGGAACTACGAAATTGATTCCAAATACTTTTGCCGAATTCAAAATAGGATTCAAGATGGCTCCAATACATCTGAGTTGTTGTTCGGGATAATTCATCTTTGATCTATCTTAAGCGGGATTGTGTTTCTGTTCGGTGTTCTGCCGTTTTATTCTGAGGAACTACATAAGTGAATTAAATATATAAATTTAATACTATTAATAATAATGAGTATCTATATACACGACAGAAGAGAAAATAACGGTTATTTAACTAGTTTAATGATATATATAAATGTAAATAATGCCAGACAGAAATATGTAATATATATATATATATATATATACACACAAAGTTGTATAACTGTAACATATATAACTAGATTAAATTTCGTAATAGCGTATGTAATTCAGAAATGTTATGTAAAGTAAGAGGTAAATAATAAATTTATAAATATAAGAGATTTTATTGTTCAGATTGTATGTTACCGTTCATCATAAAGCTCTAATCCATAAGACATACGGCACATTTTCTGCATTAAATAAACAGACTATCGCGATAATGCATTTTTATTGCTAACGTGCGTGACTTTCGAGTAATGGATATCGATAAAAATCTTGAATGTAATCTAATTTTGTTTATAATTAATTTTTTTAAATGTATATCGTTAATGAACAAATTTATGATTACACTGGAAATTATAATTTATAAATTTATATAAATGAAAAAAAATGTTGCGTAGCTGTCCAGACAGAATTTGGTAGCGCTGTCTGTTATCATATTTCATCTAAAAAAATTTTATATTTATAACTACAGTAGAGCGTCGTTTATCCGAATCAATTGGGAACAGGAGTTGTTCGTATAACTTATTTTTCGGATAACCGACTACGTACGAAAAAATATATTAACCTATCCCATATTGAAATTTGTTTCCGTTGCCTGTCGCTTCGCATTGAATTTTCGTCGATGTTAAGCCTTATATAAACTTTTTAAAATAATAAACGTGGCTGTCGTTAAAAATTATAAAATAAAACGTTCTATCGTTAAAAATTATTTTCGTATTTTGTACAAAAAAAATAAATATATTGAAAAATATAAAAACAATAAAAAATTATACTCGGAAGTTAATTTAGTATCAAAAACATAAAATATTTGAGTAGCTCAACACATATTTGAGTAGCTCAACACAGCTAAAGATTGCAGCGCCACAGCATTGGCGAAAATTTAAATTTACGGACTTGAATTCTTTCGGATAACCGAAGTTTCGGATAAACGACGCTCTACTGTATTATAAAATAACGAAAATATTAATTTTGAGGGTAGTAGTGGGTTTTATAGACTTTAAAAAAATGTAAATGCTAAAAACGTGTAAAAATCAAGATTAAGTTTGACCGTACTGAAAATACACACGACTCATTTATCGCCACACCCTCTCAAATATTTAATAGCGTCGATTCACCTAACACACGAATTACCCTGAAAATTTTTAAAAGTTTTTGACAAATTGGACAAAAGTTGTTAAGCTTCAAACAGGGTAAGAAAAATCGAGCCAGACACACTTTAGCATACATGCGTAAATAAACCTCGATATTAACGCATTACTCCACGTTTTACATTATTTTAAAACCAAAAATAAACGAATCTCATAGGTTGATGGTGTGATTTGCTTATTTAGGGGAAATTTCCTTATGAGGAGAATCGACGCTATTAAATATTTGAGAGGGTGTGGCGATAAACGAATCGTGTGTATTTTTATTCCGGTAAAATTTAATCTCGATTTTTACACGTTTTTAGCATTTACATTTCTTTTTACGTCTATAAAAGGCACCACAACCTTCAAAATTAATAATTTTGCCATTTTATAATAGTTATTGATATAAAAATGTTAAAAATAAAATATGATAAGAGACTGTGCTGCCAAATTTTGTCTGGAAAGTTAAGCAACTTTTCTCTGCATTTATTTAAATTTATAAATTATAATTTTTAGTGTAATCATAAATATGTTTATTAACAATATACATTTAATAAAATTAATTTTGAACAAAATTAGATTACATTCAAGATTTTTATGGATATCCATTACTACAGATTATGACATTACTCGAAAGTCACGCACGTTAGCACTGAAAATGGAATATCTCGATATTCTGTTTATTTATTGCAATAAATATGCCTTATATCGCATAAATTGGAAATTTATGATCAACCGTAACAACAAACCTGAACAATAAAATTTGTGTTATTTAGTAACTTATTATTTATTTGTTACTTTATGTAACATTTTTGAATTACACACGTTATTACGAAATTTAATCTATTTATATATGTTACAATTATATAACATTCTCTCTCTATATATATATACAAAGTTACATAATTATAACATGTATAACTAGATTAAAAATTTTTAATTGCATGTAATATGTAATATATATGTATATATTGCATGTTTTTGTCTGCCATTATATCTGAAAGTTATCGTTTAGATAAAACGTATAAACCTGTCTGAATATAAATTAACGAACATATTTAAATTAATAATTTAATTAACATTAATTTCGCGTTATATTATTAAAAGGCTCTTAAAGAGTGTATTAATTATAGATGTCGAGACTGAGGATGATCTCTTCGCCTGTTAGAACAGTTTTTGCTTCAGAACTGCACGCTGTAAATCAAAAATAATTTTTGAGTAGCATTTACAAATAACATGCAATTACTTCGTNTTATGGCCGTTTCTAGCCCGATAATATTCGGCTTTGGTTGACGTATAGATTTAAATGTATCGGGTATAGTAAGGATGTTTGATTAAATACAGTATATATGTATGAGTATTTACAAATAGTTAATTTAATTAACATTAATTTCGCGTTATATTATTAAAAGGCTCTTAAAGAGTGTATTAATTATAGATGTCGAGACTGAGGATGATCTCTTCGCCTGTTAGAACAGTTTTTGCTTCAGAACTGCACGCTGTAAATCAAAAATAATTTTTGAGTAGCATTTACAAATAACATGCAATTACTTCGTTTTCGTCGATTTTCACAAACAGACGTATATTTTTATTTACAAGAATTGGAATCGTTTAAAAAACTTAACATTTCGGACTTAAAAGGCAAATTCTCTTTTTACTTCGATACAGCGTCTGATGCCGAATGATTATGATTATGTTATTTTATTAATACCACCAGATCAATCGTACCGCGGATGGGGTAATGCATTGTAATTATCATAGTAATTAATTTTAAAAACAACGTTTTTATAAGTTCCAACAAACAAATTTCAAATTGTTTATCTGATTATTCATAAATTCTTTATAAAGAAAAATGAGAAAGTCTAAACTTAATCAAATAAACATTAGTTAGTTAATATTCTATTTGAATTTTATTCTTGCATGTAAATAAGGTGGAGTTTCTTTGTTACGACATCGCGACACTTAAAGGATTTACCGAGTGAGATGCCTCTTAGCAATATGTCTGGAAAACTGG